GGTTGGGTGGAGTGGAGTGGAGTGGGAGGAGTGAATGGAGTGGAGTGGAGTGGGAAGGAGTGGAGTAGGAGTGGAGTGGAGTGGAGGATGGATGGATGGATGGGAGGATGGATGGATGGTTGGGTGGATGGATGGATGGGGAGATGAATGGATGGATGGATGGGAGGATGGATGAATCAAGGAGGTTGCTGGCAGAAGCCCCCTCTGCAGTCGGCATGGTGGTGGGCTTGGGCAGGAGTGGCCTTTGGAGAAAGCCGTGGCTTTGCCCCTACAGTACTTCTCAGGACATATTCATCCAACCAAGGACCTTTATGCAGAATGTATTTTCATAAAATTCCTTCCAACCAACAAGGAAAAGACAAACAACCCAATGCAAAAATGGACAAAAGTCTTGAAAAGTCCTGCTGCTCCACCCACAACCAGCTACTCCACTCCTGGGTGGGGTGCTCCTGTGTGTTCACAGAGGACGTGCCCTGGGACATCTCAGAGTCCTCTTCATTATGGCCCTCCACACTAATCATAGAACGGACAGATAAACTATTGTTCACACAATAGAATTTACACAAAAATATGGACAAATCTTGCACATGAAAAGGCGCTCAGCATTGCTAATCATTAGGGAAATGCAAATCAAAACTACAGGATACCACCTCACACCCATTAGGATGGGGCCCATTTGAAAAACAGAAAATAACCTGTGTTGGCGAGGATGTGGAGAAATCGGAGCTCTTGTGCACTGCTGGTGGGAGCACAAAGTGGTGCAGCCACTGTGGAAAACAGTATGGCGTTTCCTCAAAAAGTTAAAAGTATAATTACTATATGATCCAGCAATTCTATCCCAAGTATATACCCAAAAGAATGGAAAGCAGGGTCTCGGAGAGATATTTGTACACCCGTGTTCACAGCAGCATTATTTGCAACAGCCAAGAGGTGAGAGCAACCCAAGTGTCCATCGAGGGACGATGGCTGAACAAAACGTGGCCCGTCCACACAGCCGAACATTATCTGGCCTTGAAAAGGAAGGAGATTCTAGTGCACGCTGCCACCGGAATGAGCCCTGAGTGAGGGCATGAGGCTCCGGGACATAAGCCAGCACGGAAGGATGCATGCTGTGTGGTTCCACTTGTGTGAGGTCCCTAGAGCAGTCACACTCACAGAGACAGAAAGTAGGACGGTGGGGGCGGGAGATGGGGGAGGGGAGGGGAAGTGAGTGTGTCGTGGGGACAGAGCTTCAGTTTTACAAGATGGGAAGAGCTACAGAGGTGGGCAGTGACGGTGGCATGGCGCTGTGAGCGGACTTACCACCACTGAGCAGCCCGTGCAAACATGGGTAGGACGGCACGTTTTACGCTACTATATTCTACCACAAGTAAAAGTGAAAATGTGGTGATTTTCATTAACAGAGTGTTGAATGAAAGAAGTTGCACACTGTGATTCCACCGATAAAGCGACCCAGCTGGCCAGCTGGGAGTCACGCCAGTGGCTGGGCTGGACCCGAGGGCGCGGGCGGGCAAGCAGGCGGGCACGTTCTGCTTCCCGACGGAGCTCTGGTTCCACGGGGGTGTGCAGGGCGTGGCAGTGCAGTGAACTGTGTGCCTGTGTGTGTCTGTTGTACTTGGGGCAAACTTTTTCTTTTTAATTGAAATAGAGTAGACTTACAGTGTTTCAGGTGTACAGAAAAGTGATTCAGTTACACGTATACATCAATTCTTTTTCAGATTCTTTCCCACTATCGGTTATTACAAGGTACTGAATACAGTTCCCTGCGCTGCACAGTAGGACCTTGTTGTTTATCCATTTTGTATACAGTAGTTAGTATCTGAAAATCCAAAACTCCTAATTTATCCCTCCCTCACTTGGCCTGGTAATCCTCATTTTGTTTTCAATGTCTGTGAATCTATTTCTATTTTGAAAATAAGCTCATTTGTATCACTTTTTGGATTCCACATATAAGTGGTATCATATGGTATCTGTCTTCCTTTTTCTGACTTATCTCACTTAGAGTGGCGATCTCTAGGTCCATCCATGTTGCTGCAGATAGCACTGTTTCATTCTTCTTATGGCCGAGTGGTCTTCCATTGCACAAATGTACTGCTGCTTCTTTCTCCAGTCGTCTGTCAGCGGACATGCAGGTGCTTCCATGTCTTCGCAACTATAAACGGTGCTGCTGTGAACTTGGGATGCACGTGTCTTCTCCACTTAGAGTTTTCATCTTTTCCGGATATATGCTCAGGAACGGGATTGCTGGATCACATGGTTACTCTATTTTTAGTTTTTTAAGGAACCTCCGGACTGTTCTCCATAGTGGCGGCACCAACTTACATTCCTACCAACAGCATAGGAGAGTTCCCTGCGTCAAAGTTTTAATAAAAAGAAGGGCTTTCTTAGAATGAAGGACTGGGGCTTCTGGAAGACTCACCGTGTGGCCTTCCCTAATCTCCACGGATCTTAAGAACACCCTCGCGGCCCACCTGGCCCACAGACCTGTGCTGGAGAAAGTTGGCCTTAGGGGTCCCACCCCCACCCCCACAGAGTCGGGCTCTTTCATGAACACGTTGCACACACACACGCACACCAGCTGTAAAGATTAAAAAGGAGCAAACATGCCCCTTAAAGAAAGCGTGAGTGTGAGGGGGGTCTTTGGAAGCCTGCCCGCCCTGCCCTGTCTGTGGGCCGAGAGATGAGGCCCCGGGGGTCCCACGGGCTGCGGCGACCTGGAAGCTGTTAATTACACCGCCAATGACACGGGACCTGCGGTGGATTTGGCCTCTGCAGGCAGTTGTTTTTTATGTTTTGCTGACAGTCCAAATGATTCTAGATAAACCGGGGAGTGGAAGGAGCCGGCCAGCACCTGGGGAGGGCAAACGCAGCTGGCTTTGTGAGAACACAGCTGTGACTGCCGAGTATGCTTTCTCAGTGTAAAACACCACCAGAGGGTAGGAAAACACGCCTTTTGGGGTGCACTCAGGTCCATGAGTTAGTTTGGATCGTGGGTGCTGGTGAAGGTGTGGAGAATCCAGACAGTCACCCAGGAAATCCATGGCGCCTGTGATTCCTGGTGGCGTGGCGTTCCTGGCGTGGCTGGCGGCTGGGGCCAGGGAGCTGGGGCCAGATCCTCTCACGCTTTGAGCATCTCACATCCTCACAATTTTATTCCTCTTTGTGACAATGCTGAGAGGGAGGCACAGCCTTTGTCATCGTGTCCTAAATGGACCAACCGAGGCGCCAGAAGGCAAGGCGAGTGGCCAGGCTCCCTCCGAAGTCGGCCCAGTGGCCGGGACGGAAACTCGTCTCTTGACTCCAAATTCAGTGCGATTTCTAAAGAGATGTTTGTCACAAGTGTTGTTCTTCCCTTCCCCCCAAACCTCCTGGGACGGTGGATGGGAATAGAAGTGTCCTGGCTGACACCCAGGTGCTCACCGTCCTCACTGTTCAGTGGAGAAGAGGTTGAGAGGGTTACCAGTCAGAGGACCAACTGAAAGGCCAGGCAGGGGACACGAGGAGGGGAGGGGGCCCGGCCACGAGCTGCTGGCTGGAAGGGCCAAAGGGAGACACCGAATCCTGGAGGAGGAGGACAAGCAGGGTGGGCGAAACAGCATCGGAAAGAGGAGGGCCCCCAGGACAGGGCACCCCCACCCCACCCCGGGCAGGGTGTGCCGTGGTGGCCTCAGCGGGCCCAGCATGGAGCAGCAGGGGGACGGATGTCCTTGGGGAGGGACAGTGGAGGTCACCCCTCCCCAGGGGACACCCCCTCTTCCCGGGATGTGGCGGTGACCATCAAGAACTCATTAAAATCTGCCCGTTGACTTGGAGGAATGTCTGGGGGTGGGGAGGGGGGTGAGAGAAATAAGAAGGTGTGAGGGAAGCAAGGCTGTAGAAACCTCGTGCCTGCTGGTGACAGTTTAGGACCACGGACACGGGTGTGTGACCGCGGGAGCGTGGAGGGAGGCTGGCGGGCCTGGGATAGTGGGGTGCGCCCGGGGGTCAGTGAGCACGACCTCTTCCCACCCCACCCTCCGCGTTCAGGGCTCTGCGGACTGCGGCCTCTGGGACAAGCAGCGTGTCCCGTCTAAACGCTCATGTGTCATTCACAGAGTCAGCTGGTGGCCGCCAGAGAAAAGCGTGTGGAAGGGGAACCAGCGGGCAGACCCGAGCGTCCCGCCAGCAGAAGAGCACCTATGACCGGGCCGCTAAGGTAAGGGCAGCTTCCTCTATTCTCTAGGTTTGATTCGGCGCCGTGTGCTGTCTCGTCTCCCTCAGCTTCACTGTTGTGGTTACATCGCCAAGCCTGGTGCTGAGCTGCTATCAGAGCTGGGCTGGCACTGCACTGACGTGGGTCCAGTTGGTGTTCGGGTAGTTGTGGATGAAGAGATGTGATCCAGGCAGGAGTGGTTCTCTGAATGGACCGAGGGCGGGAAACTGTCTCCAGCTGGTCCAAGGCGTTCACTGGAAGCGGCTCAGGGGGCAGCACGGGCTCTGTCCCCGGGAGAGCGGGAGGCAGCGCTGGAGAGCATCGCGTGCCGTGCGCGCCTCAGGTCTGCACATCACTCTGCGCCCTGGGAGGAAAGTGGGGGCCACTCCAAGAGCTGAGCCTGGCGCTGGGTAGCAGCCGCCTGGTGCTGTGCGGGGAGGCCCCGGGCCATCTCTGGGCCTGGTGGGGAAGCCACAGCGGCCATGGAGAGGAGGGCCGCGTGAGGAGCGTGCGGCCCTCCATCCCCCCTGCCCAGCCCCCTTGGTGAGGGGCAATCTGATGCTGCCCTGCGGAGGGCGCTCGGGGACGTCTGGAGCCCACGCAGGGCAGAGCGAGCTCAGAGGCACGGCTGTCGCTGGGGAGCAGGGCCCACAGCCTGTCCCACCACGTGTCCACTCTCCAACCAGGCCCCTGTCCTCGCAGTGGCTTCGGTGACCGCCTGGGGGCCACGCAAACCGCGAGAACTGACCTGACCGTAAGCGTGTAAGGTCGCCCTGCTCGCAACAATCATCCCTGTTACGGGAAGCAGCCCGTCTCACACGCCCCGGGGACGGACACAGCTGTTCTCTGCATCTGTAAAACCTGCCCTTGGAAAGCAACTTCTGGGCTAGTTTCTGATGAGGTCTGCAGGGGAGCGAGTCCTCCCTGCGCGCACGCCCTCCCGGTAGCCCAAGAGCATGGTGGCTCAGGATGGGCGGAACCCAAAGTGTCCTGTTGTGTCGCCTGAAGAGAACTGCAGGGCCGTGCGATTCCGTCAGGAATGTGGCCAACCCGTTGCAGCACGAAACTTGCCAACCCGCTGCCCCGTTCCTGGTGATTCAGGACATGGCTGCACACATTGGTATTTTAGCCTTGACACTTATTGAGGCCACCGCTGGGTGAGCGGTGGGGGACTGAGTGGGAGGGGCCCGAGGAGATGATGGAGACGCTTCTGTCCTGACAGGGCTGGGTCGCACAGGGGCCGCCTTCGTCAAACCGCTCGACCAGCACGGTTAGGATGTGTGCACTGCACTGCATGGAAGTTTTCCCAGAAAAAAGTAAGCAAATGTTGAAGTCTGGTGAACGCAGTGACAGCTAAAGCATTCAGGGGTAGGGCACGTGGGTGCCTGCCGCTTCCTGTGAAATGCTTCAAGAAAACAAGACGGTGGTGAGCAGATGGAGGGGGGGAGGCAGACACGCCTGTGACAAGCAGGCAGCGCGGGCTGTGAGCAGTGTGGCCGAGGTGTGGGCCCAGGGGTGTTTGTGGCCACGTTCCTCCCGGTCGTCCGCACGTTTGGAAGTTTCCCTAATAAAATGTTGGAGAAAAATTCTGGGTAGAGGTGTTGAGGAGCCTGGTGTATCATTTTCTAGGCCTTTCTGTACTTGCAAAGTAGCTTATGACCCTCTGGGGTTCATAGGGTAGGTGGCTTCTCAAGGCACCTTTCCTGCCGGCCTGCCCGGGGAGGCACGGCCCCCTGTGTGCCCAGGTACGCAGGTTTCCTTTACGGTTTGTTGATGCCACTGGTGAGTGGGGTTCTGGGAGCCTTGGCGGGGGACGCTGACCCTGGCCAGGTGGTCCAGGCACGTGGACTCATGACCTTGAAATGCACCGTCCCTTCCTTTACGAGGTGGCTCTCCAGGCAGGCCCGCTTCCCTCGGGGAGAAGTGGGCGTTTCGTGCTGACTGGCGAGGCTTCGTCCTCCCTCTAATGACCGTCCGCAGCCTGAAGGGCTGCAAACCCCACGGGCCGGCCCAGGGAGGGAGGTGGAGGATAACAGGTACCGGTTCAGACCCACACTGGGATGAGGCCTGGAGCCCGGCCCCCAGCCCAGCGGCGGCGCGCTCCAGCTCCGGCCCTGGCCCTCTCCTGGCCTTGGGCGCGGGGAGCTGAACTCTGAGACTGTGGCGTCACGTGGCTGCCTTGCGGGGCCAGAGGGCCACATCTGCAGAAATGGTTCTGTTTCCTGATCTTCTTTTCTTTTGTTCCTTTCCCAAATTCAAAGAGGTTATTTTCAGCAAACCCAGAGGACAGCCTTATTCGGAGACTCTCACATCAGGAGGGTTGGTGGTTATGCCCACGGGACAGTGTGAGGCTGGTAGGCACAGAAGTGGGCTGGACCCCGACCTCCTGGTGTCAAGGCCAAGTGTCTCAGCCAGGTCAGCTTTGGTGACAGGTGACAGAAGGCCCACCTGAGGTGGCCTGGCCAGTAAGGGAGCTAATTGACCCACATGACTGACCCGCCCAGGTTCAGGTACTGTTGGATTCTAAGGCCAAGAGACGCCTTCGGGCTTTGGTTCTTTTTCACACGTCACCGTGACCCGAAGGCCAGTGGGGAGGGCCAGGCACCTGGCCCTGCCCCACCGCTGTGGCTGGGGTGGAGGCGCCGCCTGGCTGAGCTGCATCCGCGTGGGGTCCCCTTCGCTCACAGTGGGACTGAGCGCCCGGTGGGGCTGCAGCCACCAAAAGGGCCACAGCTGCAGATGTCCATAGCAAAGACTCCTAATCCAACAGACCCAGCACCTCCTGCTGCCTTGTGGGGGGCCCCGGCCTCAGGTATCACCCCCTGGGGACTCTCAGTCTGGAACGCCAGCATTTCGTTTCTCCTACTGACCGTCCACACTGCCTCATGCCTGGTGGTCCCGATCAGTCTGCCAGATGGAATTCTTTCCCTGGGAGGCCCAAGATCCTGGCATGGACAAACTTCTCCAAGTCCCAGGTCTCTCCAGCTGCTCCCACAGCAGCCCCGTCCATCCCCGCAGAGCCCTTCCTGGGCTAAGACTTGGGATTCAGCCCCGCCTCCCCGCCCAGTGGAATCACGTGCTCCCCAGAGTCCCCAGGCACCTGCCCTGGTTGCTGACACCTGCCGTCAGCAGAGGGCTCAGTCCCCAGGTGGCAGTCAGGGATCCTGCACCTGCATGTTTGCCGTGAGCTCACTCGGCTCTTCCTCCCCTTCCTTCCCCTGCGCGTCACACCTGTTGGTCCGCGGAGTTGGTGCCACATACTGTCCTCTGGCTGCTGGGCATGTGGGGGCTGATCTGGGCTGCAGGTGACAGCTTCCCTCTCCCCGCCCCTCCCCGCACTCACCTGGCCTGGACCTCTGCCCGGGCTTGGTCTCGAGCAGTTGTGGAGGGGATGTGATGTCAGTACCAGGGAGAAGCCACCGCTCAGTGGGGGCTGGACTGAACGGCGCCGGGGCCCAGGGGATCACTGTGAGCTCAGGAGGGATGAACACACGGCCTCTTGGGGCCCCGCGGACTGGGCTCTGGCCATCCCTTTCTGTTAAGGTGTGTTTGACGTGATCGAGAGGATGCTCAAAGCCTGGGGGAGCGATGGGCACAAGTGCCATTGCCCCGCCGAGGCCGGGCCGTCTCCGCCCGGCCCAGGCTTTGGGGCTGCCCCCTCCGCACCTCCCCTGGAGGCAGCTGGGTCCTCATGCTTTTCTCATTCCCTTGCTTTTCTCTGTGGTTTTTACCGTCTGCCTAGTGTCTCTAAACCCTGCAGCTGGCCTTGCTTGTTCCTGATTTTCATTCACAGGCTGTTAACCCGGGATGTGTATTTCACTCTGCGACTTGCTTTATTGCATCCAACATTCTGTTTCTTAGGTGCCTCGGGGTGATGCCCATGGCTGGGGGTCCTGTGTTCTCACTGCTGCGCAGCACCCCTGGGTGAATGCCCTCTCCTTGCCTTCCCTACTCTCCCTCCACGGACACAGGGAACCTCCAGTTTCACTGTAACCGGCAAAGTCTTCAGGAACACCTGAGCCCCCAGAGCGCAAAGGTTTCCCCGTGCAAACTGGCTCGTGGATGCTGTGCGTGGAGTTGTGCGCTACAACCTGCACGCGCTGGCCGAGCCAGGTGCTCCTGGGGGCTGCACTGCTGTCCCCCCCGCCCGGGGGGCTCCGCCCGCAGGCGAGGCCGTCACCTCTCACTTTTCATCTAGTTCATCCTGCCACCGCAGTTACAGGTTAGGTCTTGGAACAGCCCAGTGAGGTCCCCCTCCCCCCAGCTCGGTGGTCTTGCTGTGATTGCGCTCAGCCCTAGGCACTGACGCGGGGCCTTTGCCTGCAAGTCACCAGGGGCGTCCAGGCGTTGGTCCCTCTTGACGTGCCGTTTTAGGCACAGGCACTCACTGTCCATGGTAGGCCTCCAGCACTGGCCTCGTGGGGACCGTGGGTGCTGTACACCGTGACACCCTTTCTCCACTGCACGTCTTGTTGTGAGTGTCTTGGGTTCTCGGTTGCTTGGTTGTGGTTGGCTGGCTGGCTTTTCTGTGGGCTGATCACCAATTGGACCCCAAATTCCCTCCCACTCTCCTCCCAGTACTTTGGACACAGCAGGTAATCTGACCATCTCATCTCTGCGATGAAATCTTTTCTGGAGCCTTCTGCTGCTCCATCTGGACTGGACGTCCTCCGTGTCTGGTGGCCAGCTAGCTGCTGGGAGGCCCTTCCCTGTCTCCCCAGGCAGCGTCCCCCCCTTCCTCTTGTGTGGGGTCCTTTGATTCCAAGATCTGTGCCTTTCTCTTTCCTGGTTGACTCCCTTGTTTCCCTGAGGAGGCTTCTGAGAGAGGATGCCAGGGGGTACGTTAGTCGAGAATGCTTGTGTCTTAGGATGTCTTTGTCCTCTTCTGTTACCAGGCTCCTTGGGGACAGGACCTGTTTTGATTCATCGCCAGCACCTGTGTTCACTCCATTTCTCTTGCCTGAACATTATCTCTTTCCCTTCCACCCATGCAAATCG